ATAACTTTAATTTTTTTTTTTTTTTTTTTTCAAAAAAAAAAAACTTTTTTTATCGGTTATTAAAAAAGGGGCCCAAAAAATTTTATTTATTTTTGGGGGAAAATTTCTAAAACCCAAAAAAATTTTAAAAAAAAAAAATATAAATTTCATAATAATCTTTTTTTAAAAACTTTTCAAGATTTGGATCTTGGTCTCGATTCATTGTCGCACATTCCACACACACCAACAATTTTTTTTTTTTTTTTAAAATTTTTAAAATTTTTTTTTTTTTTATAATTTTTTATTTTTTTTTTATTTTTCCTATTTAAAAACACAAATACTAATTATAATTTTTTTTATATCTTTTTAAATTATAGTATATCGTCGAATACTAGTTAAATACAAAATATTTTATTTTTTCTTTTTATAATCATATTTCTTTTCCGATCACAAACCTCTCAACTTAATCATAATTTCAAACATTAATAGTTTTTTTTATCCGAATCATACCAACAAAATCGAACTTTTTTTTTTTTTTTTAGAATTCATTTATTTAATATTTATTTATAAATTTATAGTCTTTCAATAAATCATTTTTTTTTATCAGTTTTTAATAATAGTATATATATTTTAATAATAGTTCAGTAATAGTAAATAATATAATAATAATAAAAATAATAATAATAATATAAATACAAATAATATAACATATAATATAACATATAATAATATTCAATAATTTTAATAATCATCAATCAATAATTAATAATTAATAATAGTAATTTAAAAACTTTTAAAGGTCATAAAAACAGAGAAATCTGTTATAAAGTTAAAAAGTTAATTATATAGTTTTTTTTTATTAAAATGGATAGGAATTCTTATCCAATAAACGAAAATAATTATTATTCGCAAAACAACAACAACAACAACAACAACAATAACAATAACAACAACAACAACAACAGTAGCAACAATAGTAACAACAATATGAATTCAACATTAGTCCATCCACATATAACTGTAGGAGGTAGATCGTCATCACTTGGGAGTTCACCAAATCAGCAATCTATTAATATGTTTTCTAATTTACCACAAATTAATATTTTAACTCCACATCTCCTTCCAGGTGCACCAGCATCTTCATCTTCATCTTCATCTGCAGCAAACACACCACAACTTTCATCTGTATATCGAACCCCATTTTCATCGTCATCCACCCAAACTTCACCATCCCCATTCGAATCAACTATACCACTTATAAATACAAAATCAATTATTCCATCAGCATCGCAATTACAATCTCAAAATATAAGTATTATCAATTCAATTAATAATAATTTTGGAAATAAAGATAATGGTGGATTCGAAGATAATGTTTTTATAAGTAGTTCATCATATAATCATAGTCAAGGTGATAAACAAAATAATATTAATATTAATAATAACAATAGTAATAATTCACCACAACATTATCAAAATAACAACCATAACAATAATAAAAATAACTCTTCTCCAAGTTCATCACCACATTCACCAAATTCTTTTGGAGAGGATTCTGATTCTGGTTCATCATCTCCATCATCACCAACCCAAAATTTAAATGGCCATAATAATATGAATGTTATCAATCATCCAAATATGATAAATTATTTTAATTATAATAACCCAAACAATTTAGTAAATAGCCCAAATAAAAGTATTACAACTGTAAATAATAATAACAATATGAATATTAAAACTGAAAATGATAATAATAATAATAATAATAACAATAATAATAACAATAACAATAATAATGATAACACTAATAATATAACTAATGGTGATGAAAAAGGTTTCGTTTTCCCATCACAAGCCAAATCAACTACAACATTATTTGGTGTTATGCCAAACGAGCAAGAAACTTGGATTGAAATAAGAGATCTTAGTTCACAAATTTCAAAGATGGCAAAGTCCAGTCTTACAAATGGTATTACCGAAGAAATGTTAAATGAAATTAAAGAAAAAGGAAAAGTTTTAATGAATATGATCGATACAGTTACAAAGAAAGAGAAGTTGGAAAGAGCCTATAGCGAGGAAGATAGAAATAGAATATTCCCACCATTAACTAGACCCAGAAGATTTAGAAAGAAGAAGAAGCCAAACGCTACTGAAAATCCACCAGTCGAAAAAGTTAAAAAGAAATCAGATACTTTATTTTGCCGTTCATGTGGTACAACTCAAACACCAGAATGGAGAAAAGGACCAGCAGGAGGAAAATCGTAAGTTTTATTTTTTAATTTAAAATTTTTTTATCCCACTTATTAATATTATTATTATTATTTAGATTATGTAATGCTTGTGGCCTTCATTATGCCAAGTTGATAAAAAAAGAGGTTCAATTAAAAACAGAAGCATCAACCTCGATGAATTTGACCACTTTACTTAATTAATATCATCAAAAAAAATTTTTAATTCTAATTATTAATATGCACACTCTAAGTTTTTTAATAAAATATTAATAGTTAATTTTATATCCAAAAATTAAACTTATAAATTTTATTTATAATTTTATTTTTAATCATTAGGTTGTTTATTTATATTTTTTTTATAAAAATTGGATATTGGATATTGCATATTTTATTTTATTTATATATTTTATAAATATATTGTTTTATTTTATTTTATTTTTACACATATAATATGACTAAAAAATTTACATAAAAATTGTGAATAAATTTTAAAAACAAGTTTTATATTTTATGGAAAATAATTTATTTAAAATTTTAAATAAATTTGAACTGTATACTATATAACATAACTAAATGTTATTGTATTATATTTTAAATTATTTTATTATTAAATCCAAACCCTGTGAAATTTAAAAAAAAAAAAGAAATTTGTTAAAATATTATTTTTAATCTTTTAAATATATTTTTATAACAAACCTTATTGTACCATCGACCGAGCCTGAGGCAAAAGATGAACCGTTTGGAGCAAATGAACAACAATTAACAGGACCATGATGTCCTTTTGAAACTTCAAGTTCGTTACCTGTTTCGAAATCATATGAATGAACCCAAAAGTCGCTTCCACCTGCTATAAATTTTGAATTATCTGGTGATAATGATGCACAATTAACTTCGAATGGAAGAGAATAAACTTTTAATGGATAAAATCTAGAATAATAATAATTTGAAAGTATTAATAAACCTAAACTTTATCAATGATATCATATAATATAATATGATTACATACGAATGAGCATCCCAAAAAGTAACCTCATTGCCAGCAGTTGTAACTAAATATTTCTTATCTTTACTAAATTCCATACTAGATATTGAAGATTTTGCGCATAATGAAATTTGGGTACCGCTTCTTAAATCCCAAATTCTAATAACCTCATCTAAACCACCACTAAGAACAATATCGCTATTAAATGCACTCCATGTTGCTTTTTTAATTGTGTTTTGGTGACCTGAGATTTGAAATAGTGGTTCGTTTGCTTTTTCTAAATCATATATCCTAAGAATTTTATCGTGTCCACCTGTAATTATCATTCTGCTATTCTATTTTTGTTTTTTAATAATTTAATTAATAAATCTTTATAAATAAAATAATAATAATATTGATTTATACACTCGAAAAATCTGCCGTTTTTACTATTGATGGATGTTCTATTGAAAGTAGTTCTGTTCCATTTAATGTATCCCAAAGTTTTCTAAAATTAAAATTAATATTAATATTGATATTAGATTTTTTTTTTTTTTTTTTTTGTTGAATGATTAATTAATTACACAGTATAATCAGCTGAAGCAGTTAATGCTTGTGAGGCATTTGAATTAAATCTTGATGACCAAACAGCCCCTTTATGACCCTCGAATGTACCTATCCAATCCCCTGTTATACCATCTCTAAGCATTGGTTTACCATCTTTTTTATTTTTTTATTAATATATCTTTTTTTTATTTATTTCTATATCTATCTTTTTATTTTAAATAAATTACCTAAACACGCAGAAACTATAAATGTTCCTTCAGAGGATTCATTAGAGAACGCTATATCAGTTACAGGACGACTATGACCACTACAAATCATTGGTTGTTTCATTGTAGTAAATATATTTATATATAATAAAATATTTAAAAAAACTGTACAAATAAAAAAAAAACTAAAAAAAAAACTGATCGTTATAAATAAAAAAAGAGAGAAGCTAGCTTTTATTTTTTAATAATTTTAAAATAAAAAAAAAAAAAAAAAGAAAAAAAGAAAATTATTAAAAAAAAATATAAAAAAAATAAAAAAAAAATTATAAAAAAAAATAAATGAAACAATGAAAAAATAAATAAACCAACAATTAATTTTTTTTTTGAAACTATATATTTTAACAAATAAGTAATGGTTTTTATATTGTTTTAAATAAATTTTTTTATTTATATATATGTGAAATAATTTTTTTTTTCTCTAAAGTAATGGTGGTGGTTCATCATTTTTACCAAGAGTTGTATTATTAAAAGCGGCAGAGGTTAATAAACCGACAGTGTTGCTTTGGGTACCACCAGTTAATAAACCAACGGCATTTTGAGCTGGAGCGGTAATGAAAAGATCGTGAGATTGTGATGAATAGGATGACCAAATTTCTGATTTATCGAGGATTTCAGTGATAAGCGCGCCATGCATGCCATCTGTTTCTAACTTCTTTAAGTAATTTACAATTAAAGCTTGAGTTGTTGGAGAAACACCTTTACCTCTTTCTAAAAGTTTAAGTGATTGTTGGATGAAATCACCACGAGTTGCTTGCTCAGAGAAGCAAGTCTTTTCACATTTGTTTAATGACAAAATCTTTAAAATACATTCGGCGGTTAGGGATAAATTATCGTTTGGCATACTTATAGCCCTTGAAAGATGATTCCAGAGAATACCAATCTTTGAAAGATGATCAACACAAACTTGACTTTCAGACATAGAGTGGAGGATATTAATCATCAATGAACGAATTTGAGATACTGAATGACCAAACAATGGTAAAATTTTTTCGATATAACCGGTTGAGGGTAATTGATCCGATAAAACATTATGATGTTGGAATAATGAAATAATAGCTAATGACAATGGTTGAATCTTTGGGTCAATTTGAGATTCGGTTTCGGTTCTATTGGCACAATTTAAAAGAGTATCAAAAACCTCTAAAAGGAATTTTCTTGGATTTCTTAAAGACCATCCTGGTTGTTTGAGGAATAATGAAATGTAGACACCGCCAATGATAAGTTCGTTTTCACCATCTAAAGAATAAATAACTTGGAAGTCATCAGATGGTAATTTCCATTGAACATTAAAGGATTTGGCAGCAATGACTTGAGCTTGGTATTCTTTTTCCATTTTGGTTAATGTATCTTTAAGAATGGCTCTAGTATTATTATTCCAAATTAATTCTGGATTTTCGTGTTGAGCATCAAATACCATAACGGTTTGTTGTGGGTCTTCACTCATAGTTGAATTGAAAACTGGTGGAATAAACTTGCCAATTAATAGAGCAACTTTTGGACCATGAACTTTATCCATAATCATTCTGCCCAAGACACCAACTGCTTTAATACGATTTTCCATAACAATTTGATTATTTGAGAATACATCTATAAGATATAGGAGACCACAATGATTGATAATATCGAATACATGATGAGAAAGAGCAACTAAAGAGTAGAGAACTTTAAGAGTTAATTCGATAGTGGTTGGGTTTGGTTTGGATACAAGTTGCAAAAGATATGGTAATATTGAGCCTTCTGGTTCAGAGGAGCATTGAGCTATATAGTTGATACATTCCATATTTGAGGTAACTAAAATTAAAGTTTCTAATACGAGTTTTTGAATCTTAACATTATCTTGATGGGCGAGGAAGCTGAAAAGTAATCTCATTCTATTTGAACCAGCCAAGTTAAAAAGAGTTGGTGTAACTTTGCCAAATTGAATAACATTTCTAAGTGATTCAAGAGCAGAGGTGATCTTTACAATATAAATATCCCAAAGTTTACTATCTGGTGTACGAATTGGATGCTCGTGGGTAGCTCTTTCTTTGCCCAAGAAATCGATTAAATGGGCAAATAGCTCGACAATTGGAGTGGTGGCATTGGTTGGAGCTGATGGATTTGCATTATAAACACGAAGGTAATAGCCTCCAACTTTAAGTTCATTAGATAATGATTTATAAGTAAAGTTATCAACAGAGAATGGGTTGATGGTGGTTGGATTCTTGTGAGCATCATCAAGTCTCTTGTTCAAATATTCCATTAAATCTTCTCTAGTTGAATTATTCCAAATGAATGCAGCAGTTTCGTGTTTGGTATTCATTTCGGTTAATAATTTGTGGTAGTGTTTGCTTGGAATAGTACCAATTGGCATTTTTAATCTTAAAACAATATGTGGAGTTAAATATTCTGTAACCATTTCTCTAACTCTAACATTGAATTCAGTTTCTGGTTTTTCCATGTATTCTTTGAGTTCTTTTTGATATTTTTGTTGAGCCATTTGGTCTTTGTTTGAATTGGATGGTTGGGCTGATTGAGTTGGTGAGCTATTAATATTGCTAGTATTAATCTTTTGTTGGGTTTGTAAAGCAACTTGATTTGAGGATGGAACATTATTACTACCAGATTGATTTAATGGTGATTGTGATGGAGTAGTATTGGTTGATGAGGTTAATGGATTTGGTGTTGTACTACCGCTACCACTACTACTTAATGGATTATTATTGGCAGTAGAGGTAGAGTTGGTTGATGGAGTTGGTTGGCCACTAGTAAGTTGTAATTGGTTATATTCTGTAACCGGAGTGGCAATTGGACCTGTTGGTATTTGAACGACTGGAGCTGGTTTTTTAGCTGGCTCTGCTGGTTTGTCAGATGGCTCAACATAACCTTCTATATCTTCTTCCGATCTAATACCACAGAATCTTCTAATACATTTTAATGATAATTTAGCATGAAGATTGGCAATTAAAATTCTATTTGATTCGAGATTAACTTCTATACCGCTGTTGAAAAGAGTGTGATCATAACCATAAAGTAATCTTAATAAATGCCACATGACACCAGCATTGATAATACATTGTTGAAGTTCATCATCTTGTCTTGCAAATTGATAAATGGTTTCTAAAGCATATGTAACGATATGTGGATGTGAGTATGAAAGATATAAACATTTACAAATGTTTTCAGAAATCTTTAATGCAAGATTATTGGCTTCTAATTGTTTACGTGAACCAGGGAACTTGGCCATTACAGTAAGGGTTCTTAAAATACTACCAATGACTTCACCAGGGATATCAGCAGTACCATCACTATGATCATTGATATTGAATTTGGATGATCTAATTGTAATAAGGGCTTGTGATGGGGTTGAGGTAGCATTTGAAGTTGAGGATGCACCAGTTGAGGGACTATCAGATTTATTCAAATCTGGTGGAGTATTAGTAGATCCATCCTTGTTTGGTTCTGGAATATCACCTTTAATTTGTTTACCTGCAAATGATGGAGAAATTGGAGTAGTTTGAATGATAAGAGTTGGAACATCAAGTTTTTCGAATGTTAAAGTAACAGATTTATCAAAGCATTTAGCAATTATTGGTACACCATTATTTCTAGTAATTTCTTCAGAGTTGAGTGGTGAAGCCTCAACGGTAAGATGTAAGAGAGCCATGGCTGGTGAAATTAATGGAGTCTTATTATTATTATCGAATGATTTGTCGTGTGGAATTAAATCGACAATAAGTTTCCATAATTGGCCATATGCTGGATATTTGAATGGTCTAAAGAGGTCCATAAATCTAGTGTAAAGAATAACTTGGGTTAAAAGTAAAAGTGATATCTTCTTATCACTACCTCTTTCATTATCAATATTGTTGACAGTTGATAAAAGTTCGTATGCCTCTTGAATTTTTTCAAACATTTCTCTGCCATCTGGGTTCTTATCTGGATGGTATTTAGCAGCCAATTTGTAATAAGCTTTACGAATTTCATCATCTTTGTAGTTATGAGCTTTGCCATTTGTACCTTTATTTGGTTTAAGATTTAAAATTTCAAGAGCTTCATCAACAGATAATTTTTGTGGAACTTTAACGGCTTCTTCTGACCATACTTGTAAAACACTCTTGAAGAGTTCCAATGGTTGTTTGATTGGCCAATTTGGGAATTTTCTTGTATTACAGAGACGTGATAAGTAGAATGAGTGACAGAAAAGTTCGCCCTCTAATTCTTCGTAAACAATCTTTGGAATTGGAACATATTCGTAAATGGTAGTTGTATTTGAATGAAGACGTTGTGGAAGTGAGGCTAAATGTAACTCTATCTTTTCTCTCATAACCTTTCTCATTGAGCTATTCCAAATAGTTTCTGGGTCATCATTATCGGAGAGGAATTTCGAAGCAAAGTTTTCTGGGGTATAGTTTTCTAAATAGCAAATTAAAGCTTCTGGTAATAATGGTAAGAGGATTGAACGTCGACTTGAATTTTCTTCGGATGTGATAAGGTGTTGTTTGTTGTGAATGAGTTGTAAGAGTTTAACAATTGGTAAAACATTTGAATTTGGATAGAGCATCATAAAGAAGAAAGCACCAGTTAAATAGAATTTGCTTGTTATAATACTGTTATCTACTAAAAGTGATTGTAAAAGAATAGCTGTTTTTTCAACCAACATATCTTGGCCTGATAAAAGTACTTGAACGATTCTTGGTAAATTTAATGGTTCACAAATGATTCTCTTGACTCTTGGTAATGGACGAATGACAGCATTGGTAACTGGATGACGTGTTGGTCTAAAGCTGCAAAGAGCATTCAAAATATCCAAAATAACACTACCTAACTCTGCTTTTGGTAGGACCCCACCAACATTACCATGAGTAGTGCCCATCATAACGGTCCAACGAAGCTCTGGAATTTGATATAAGGGTTTCCATTTTTCAGTACCTTGAGCCCAGCATTTAGTATTTCTATTAATCTTTTTATCATTTAATAAAGATAAAAGGTCAGCTCTTGAAACTGGACCAGCTTTTTGTTGAGTAACAGCACCTGTTCCTTCATTTACGACCTCGACTGCATAATACCATTCTGCAAGCAATCTACCCTCTTCACCATAGGTATAATGAGTGTGAATTAAAGTAATGAGATCCAATAATCTATAGATACCTCTATTATCGATGAATAACTTGGCATTGGCTTTAATTAAAAGTAAACTACGAAGGAATAATAAGAGACGATCTCTAAGAATAACATCAAAAGTATTTTCTAAAAGTTCTACCAAATGTGAAATATTTGAGAATGGATGTGTCATTGATGGATGACTATGGTAATGAGTGAAAACTAATGTCATGGCTCTAAGACAAAGTGCTTTTTGATCTGATGATTCATTTAAGAGGAAGTTTTGCCATAATTCATTAAAAAATAAACCTGGGTTCATTAGTTTAATACCTTTGCTAGTACCATCAACTAAAAGTGAAATATAATAACCACCAACCGAGATCTCCTTCTTTAAACTTGGGTATGGGACTTCGAAATCTTCGTCGTTCCAAGCAATTACTTCTCTACCAGCAGCTTCTAACTCTTGTTGGAAGAGTCTTATTTCATTATCCATTGATTCTCTGAGCTCCTCACGAGTAGTATGGTTCCAAATTAAATTGGCATCACGATGGTCTTGATTGAATTGATAGTAAAACATTGCCCAATTAAATGGCTTCATAGGTTTAGTTTCTTTCTTTACTCTTGCTGTTACTTTTGCCATCATCTCTCTTGTTTTAAGAATCTTTTTCATTCTCCAATTAGCAAATATACCAAGTTTAATAGCCTTTGGTCCAGTTGATTCTTGTTTAGCTTCGATTAATTGTTCTTTTGGTGCCTCTTCGGGTGAGTCTAAATATTGGACAAGACCTCTTGGGAAAATTCTATCTAAAAGTGCACGGCAAACTTTATTTTCAGCGGTCCAAAGAGTAACTAACTGTTTACTCATCTCTCTTTTTGTTTGATTTCTAATATTGGTTGGGTTGTTTTGAGCTGGATTAATTCTTAAAAAGAGTGAATCGTGAAGATGACGTAAGAGAGCACCCTCGACAACTGAAATAATTTGCATTTGTTTAGCTGAATCTTCCTCGCCTTCATTAATAACAACTGTCATTAACATACCAGCATTCTTTGAGATAGCTGGACATTGATGTGTAAATAATTTAAATAGATCTTTACCTAATTTTCCAACTCTTGATAACATATCATTAAAAATGGCTGTATCGGTAGTTTCACTGTATGGTTCGCATAAAATTAATGTTAATAATTCAATTGCTGATGATAAAACCAATGAACCTGTACCAGCTTGTGAATGTTTTTGAATAATCTAAAGTATTATAAAAAAAATTAATAAATTAATAAATTATTTTTCATATTTTTATTATTATTATTAATTATTTTATTACTTACTTCAAAAATTGTTTTATTTAAATCTATACTTAAAAACAATTCTCTTTTATTTGCTTGGCATTGACCTGGTTCGTATTCACCTTCAAAAGCAGGTTGAATTAAAGAAATTAATAAATCTAAGGCATAGTAAGCAATAGTATCATCAACACATTGAATTGATTTTCTTAATAAATTAATTAATGGAACTTTGCAATGTGGGAAATGGGTAAATAGTTCGAAACCCACTCTAGTAGCTACAACCCTTCTTAACATTTGTAATACTACGGAAATAAGTTCTAAATCATTCTTTTCATTGCTTTGTGAGTTGGTTGCATTGTTTGATAATGATGAAACTGAACCACCAATATTTGAAATCTTGAGACCACCTAAAATTTTATTAATTGCATTCAATACAACTTTACCATTCTTTTCTGAAAAATTATTGCTTAAACCACTATATGGAATATTTGAAATAAAACCATCTAAAGTTAATGTAATTTGTGAGACTGTTAAATTTTCAAAATCAAAAGATTTATGTTCAAACAATCTAATATATTGCTCTTGGATATCCTATATTAAAAAGGCATTAGAATTGATAATTATTAAATATAATACTTTCTAATATTTTAAACTTACTTCATTTGGAACAATATGGTGAGGAGTAATTTTCATACCTCTAACAATTTGAGATGTGAAAACAGTGGCATTAACATTCCCAACGGATCTGCAGAAATCTAAAGCACTAGCAATTAAAGCATCTCTTGATGAAGATGTATAGGTTCTAAGTAAACCATCTTTATATTGAATAGATAATTTTTGTGAATCTGAATCATATCTTACAAAGCATGCAATTGTGGAATATGGTCTTGTGGTAATAATTGAATAATTTGTTAAGTCTCTTTCAACAATTCTGGGATTAATAATAAAAAAAAAAAATTAATAACTTAATATCTCTATTGTGTTTTTTTTTTTTAAACTTACTTTGTAGTTGATAGTGATAATAATCTTGGGACAGAAGTTGGATGTCTTGAGCTAAACTTATTAACATTAAAGTCTATAATCGAAACCAAGGCTTCATCATCATCTTTTCCATGTCTTTTATAACGATGAGATGGATAATCAGATAACGAAGATTGGGATTTCATAAACTTGATATCTTGACCAATATATTTTTTAGAGAATTGAACGATATTTTCAATGAATTTAGGATCGTTGACAATAAAAAGGTCAGTAGCTGCTTGATCATTACCATTCATATAGAAAAGATAAGCACTTGGATTATCTGCCAATTGTTCAATTTTTGTCACATCTTTGAAAAAATAGGATGCTCTGATCTTTAAATTTTCATTTGTAGTGGCCTGTGGATTAGTTTCTTCAATTGAGCATGAACAAACAGTCAATTTAACGTCCAACCATGTTCCATTACGCTTTAGCTTTTTTGCTGAATAACTCTTGTACATTCCTGTCATTAATTCACGCAAACTCATTTCGCTAACATATCCAGTTCTACCCAAATGTCTATAATTAATTTGATCGATTGTTTTGCCTTGTTTTTCAGCTGCTCTGACAACTGATAAAGATCTTTGTAAATCTGTTAATAAATCTGTTTAAAAAAAAAAAAAATTAATATTTATAATGAGAATTGCCAAAAGTATACATTTTTCATACCTGATCTGTGGTCAGATTCAAAATTTAGAGTATCTTTTTTCTTTCCGTCTTTTTTAGTAACAATAACAACTTGATCCAAATGCTTTTCGGATGGGTAGACATCGGCAATACCATTTTCCCAGGCCCATTGGTTGGTATTTTCCCAGGAAGAACAATCATGGGTTGTTAAATTAATTGGGTCAATTGATAAAAATCTCTTCTTCTTTTTCCATGAATGTTTAATTACGTACCATGACGAAAGGGAACAGTGATGGTTATCAATAAAATTTTGATTTAAATTTTGGTTTGGTCCACTCATCGTTGAATGAACGTATTATTATTTAATGAATAATATTTAGATTTATTTTAGAAACAAATATAATATATATTCTATAATGATTAATTATTATATTATTATTTATTATATTATTAGTTATTATAGGTTATTATTTATTTGATGGTTATTATTTATTTGATGGTTATTAATAATTATTTAGTTTTACAAAAATTACAATTTTATAAAAAAAAAAAACTGATTTTTAAATAACTATTAAAATGTAATTATATTTGAAATATAATATCAATTAATAACAATCAAATAATTGAATAATTATTAAATTAATGTTATTGTGTTTTTGAAAAAAAAAATTTTTAAAAAAATATAAAAAAAAATTTAAAATAAAACAAAAAAAAAAAATAAAAAAAAAGATTTTTTTTAAAAAAAAAAAAAAATAAATAAAAAAATTAGGTATAGCTCTGGTGGTTGAGGAAATATTGTCTAATAATTCAATCTTTTTTTTTTATTTTCTGATATATTAGGTTTTTTTGGATATATAAGTGGAAATAAATAATTGAATGCTCTATAAATTTCTTTTACAATAAAATTAAAAAACTATTCGAATAGCGGAATACAAATATTATTTGAATTATTATGTGGTTGAAGTTAATTTTTATAAAATTACCTTTAATATAAAAAAAAAGAAATTGGTAAATATAGAAATAATTTAAAAATGATTTTGAATTTATTAATTTTGAATTTGGTAAATACATATACATTTTTAAAAAACCCACAATACCCATATAAAAATATTAAAATTAGATTAATTGACAACTTTAGTTATAGGACCAAATAAAAATAACAAAATGACTACAACTTTTTAATAGCTATAATTTTTTTAATCAAGATTTCACATTATATTTATTTATTATCTATATTATTATTTTATTATAAAATTCATGGTTTTCTATAGTTAAAACGTTGTTTATAATCAAAAATTAAATAATTATTTTGAAACCTATTTTGGTTAAAATTTTATTTTAAAAAAAAAAAATTAAAAAAAAAATAAAAAAAAAAAATTTTGAAAAAAAATTTTAAAATTTTTTTGAAATTATTTAAATTTTTTTCATTTTAATATATTTTTCATTTACCACTTACCGGTTAAATTATTTAAATTATTTGTTTTTACCAAGTTTAGAATTTTATTTATTATTTCATTCTTTTTTTTTTTTTTTTTTTATTTGTATCATATATTAATAATATATTTATGTATTATAACTATTCAAAATTTTAAATAAAAAATAGATAAAATAAAACTTTGTTTTTAAATAATATTATTATTTTTATTACTAATTTTCAATAGTAGTAAATAATAATAGTAATAATAATAATAATACCAATAATAAAATAATAATAATAAATTAAAACAATTTTTTGTATATATATGTTAAATAAAATTTAGAATCAATACTAATAATAATATGTCAAATGAACATAGAGATATTGAAGGATGGCTAGCATCAAAGCTCGAAGAGCCATGGTCAAGTGAAAGACTATCATCTTTGTTATCAAAAGATATATTACAATTATTTTTTGTAAAATTTACAAAGATCGATACATTAATAAGAATTAAAGTATTATTTTCATTTTTATTTTTAAAGAAAAAACAATTTCAAGAGTTGGAACAAAATATAGTTATGTTATTGCAAATAGCTCAAGAAGAGGAGGATGAGTGGCTCCAGGTTATGGGACAACTATTAAGAAAAATAAATGAAGAAAAGATTTCACTCACAGTAGATTTACAACCTTTCACAGCAAACATAAAAAGATTAAATCAACTTTTAGAAGAAAAGGGTTCGCCCAATTTTTATCCTTTAGAGAATTTGTATTTAAATAAGAGTCTAATTCCTGTACCGACTGAATCCTTAGTTGTTCATAATCATTTTAAATTAAAAAAGCAAACTTCTGAATTACTAGTATTCACAAAGAAATCAAGCAATCAAACTTTATCAACACCCTCACTATCAGCTTCAAAATCTAGTATTCAAACCCCAACTTTGAATGCATCAACCAATAGTTTAAATCAACCAAACCAATCAAATCACCTTGATGACAATACAAATATACATCCATTCGCTACAAATATACCATCTATGGCCTCAATAAATGAAGATGATACTATTAACTCTAATATTGGATTGGAAAGCCCAACTTTAAAAAACGAAAGAATAAGATTGAATTCAAGTGGTTTAAATACTCCAACATTGAGAAGATCAAATTTATTTATTCCAAAATCTCATCATGGTCAAGATAGCAACCTATCTTCATTGTCATCAATTTCCTCCCCACCCTCTATGTTAAATAATGGTGGACACCATCATATGTTATCCTCGAGTGGCGGTGGTGAAAAGAAATTTGGTGCTCAAAAGAAAACTAAAATGGCATTTATTGATTTAGATCAAGTTAATTTAGAAATTAATCAACCAAAAGGAAAAGGTAGAAGACCCTCAGTTGACCCAAGTCAAGCACAACAGGCTCAACAACAACAACAACTGCCACAACAACAACAACAACAACAACAACAACAACTGCCACAACAACAACAACAACAACAACAACAAACCCAGCAAAAACAACAACAAATTCAACAAACTCATCACAATACAAACCAATCACATTCACAACAACAAAAACCACCCCCACAATATCAATATCAACAACATACATCCCCGTCACATCCATCACAACAGCAAAACCAACAATATGAAAATCAAACCCAGTCGCCAACTAATCAACAACGAATACAGCAACAAGGACAACAGGGGCAGCAACAGCAAGCACAACAGCAACCGTCAACAACGGCAAGA